CTCTCTCTCTCTCTCTCTCTCTCTCTCTCTCTCTCTCTCTCTCCCTCTCCTCTCCTCTCCCTCTCTCTCTCCTCTCCTCTCCCTCTCCCTCTCCCTCTCCCTCTCTCTTCTCTCTCTCTCTCCTCTGTCTCTCTCTCTCTCCTCCTGTCTCTCTCTGTCTCTCTCTCTCTCTCTCTCTCTCTCTCTCTCTCTCTCTCTCTCTCTCTCTCTCTCTCTCTCTCTCTCTCTCTCTCTCTCTCTCTCTCTCTCTCTCTCTCTCTCTGTCTGTCTGTCTGTCTGTCTGTCTCTCTCTCTCTCTCCCTCTGTCTATCTCTCTCTTTCTCTCTGTCTCCCCCTCTGACTCTCTCCCTCTCTTTGTCCTTCTCTTCTTCTCTCCCCCAAAGAAAAAACCCTTTCCCGTTAGACTGCAGTCAATGTTGACCTCCCCGCGGCCGGCCGGCGCTTCGAGGAAATCCGCGGCTTCGGGATTCCCTCCCGGGAGGGTGAGGGGGGCGGAGGGAGGGGCCCTCAACTGTATAAAGAGCAGATAGTAATGGAAGAGGACGCAGTTGCAACCGCAGCTTCATCTACTGAAGACGGCGAAATAAGCTATTGGACTTTGTGAGATGCTGTTGAAAGGGATAGCTCTTGTCTTGCTTGGTAAGCATTCTTAATTGCTCAGTTCAAAAGCTGATATCACATTTCGTTCAGCACTGTCCTGAAATATATGAATTATGAGTTGTTTTCAAGTGAAGGAGGACAACACTGCTCTCGACTGAAGACCTGACGTATGTCATTTCGTCGGTTCGTTCTGTGCCACGTCTTAGGGCAATTCTTTCATACATAGTGTACAATTTAATTCTGCTTTTTATCCAGGCGTGTGCGCCGCCTCTGCCGACAGAGACCTCGGCAGCTTTGTGGCTGGACGCCCCACCAATCATGGGGTTCCAGGCGTCCAGACCTTCGGCGGCGTACCCTCCTTCCAGCGGCCGCAAGTAGACCCACGACCCCCGAGCTTCCAGCGGCCGCAGGTGGACCCTCGACCTCCAGTCTTCAGCCGGTACGTGCGATCCGCCAACCAACCACGCCCGCAGACGCAGCCGACACCGCCTCCAGGCTACGTCCCCGCCCAAACGCTGCCGGAGAACCTTTCGCAAGACAAGTCCGCGCAACTGCCGCCGAAGAGCGAGCTGCTGAGGCCTTTCCCTCGGCCGGGGAGACCGCGGCCGCTCCCCGGGACTCTCCCGCAAGGTACGCAGGTGGTGTCGCTTGCCTTGTTATGATCTGCCAGTCGTAACTCGTGCTTTTTTTCTTACTTGTCCAGAAGTTACCATTACTAACATCGTGCCTTCCACTCATTTCACATTTTCATCAATAAGTTTATATAAATGTTCAATGTTCTTTACAAATATTCAATGCATGCAAAACATGGACATCACACATTCATGGTATAATAACCAATGCAAATGCGAATAAAGTAATATAGGAGAAATGCGCTATGAGGGGCGCAATGATTCGGGGCCAATGCAAACTGCAAGATAAAACCTCTAACTTCAGGCGGCGACGGAGACCAGAAGACGGCGCAGTTCAACAGACCCACTCGCCCAGGAGGCATTCCTGGCACAGGTGTTGGTCGCCCCAAACCCCTGCCTGGCCCTCTGCCCCAGCAACCCCAGACGCTCCCCGCGCCCCTGCCCGGGACGCCCGTCGTCCTCCCGGGAATCCTGCCGGTGATCCCCGAGACCCTGCCGGCCACACTCCCGGAGGACAAGTCCGCGCCCCTGCCGCCAAAATCTCAGCTCACCAAGCCTCAGCCCCTTCCAGCTGCCCTTCCGCAGGGTGTCCAGACCCTGCCTGCTGTGCTTCCAGCTCGCCCTCAGACGCTCCCAGCTGACCTGACGGAGGAGAAGAGCGCCCCCTTGCCTCCCAAGTCAGAGCTCACCAAGCCGGCCTCTCGCCCTCAGGAGACCGAAGACGACGATGGCTTCGCCCCCCTTCCAACGGGCCCTCAGGTCCAGCCCAGACCGCCTCCTGGGGACCTTACCAAGCCCGCCCCCCGACCACCTTTCCCGCAGGTGCAGCCCACGCCTCCGCCAGGCTTTCAGCCCGCGCAGACCCTGCCAGCGGAGCTTCCATCGGACAAAACAGCTCAGCTTCCTCCCAAATCGGAGCTTCTGAAGCCCGCCCCCCGACCACGAAGACCCGCCCCAGGACAGCAGACCAAACCAGCCGCTCAGGCCTAGGGCTTCAAGAAGAGTCGCGCTTTACTCTTGCAAAGTCAATGGCATGTGACCATGTCATAATTTGATATAAATCTTTAAAGAAAAATATTATCACCCAACAATAGATGAAACACTTTTTATCCATTCATAAATTAATTGAATATGAAATGTAAAATAACAGATTTCCTGTTATTATGTTTATACAAAAAAAATATATATATAAACAAATGATATCAATTTAGAAATCCTTATCAACTAGCATGTTTGAACTCTTCACCCCAGTGACATCTGCGTGATGC